ATTGTTTGATTCATACGTAACTTGATTCAAAACCTACGTAGTTGTTCTCTATGTCCACAGAATAACGAACTCCTATGTTTGTGAGGTCTCTACTTTGGAAAATAAATTCTCAATTTTTTCTCAAAAAACTATGTGATGTGACGTTTTTACAAGAGACAAAAATTTAGAAAATATAGAGGAACCATTTTTACGAAAAAAGAAAATCATGTGGTGGGTGCAATGTTATACTAAATTTATATAGGAGATTGGGGTAGTTTTTCTAAAAGCGACAGTAAACCGGAAAATTGGAAACAGTTGTGGCGCGGTTCTACCCAGAAAGCATGGCCTTCTAGACTGTCCTGGACGAAATCTGAATATTTCTATATGATTTCTGTCAATTTCTGCTACGGTTGTTTTATGCGTCGATCCCTGTTCTTTTGTCTTTTGTCACCGTATTAATCGTCAGCTCCCGAGGCCTCTGGCAAGGTCGGGCGCCATTTTAATTTTTGCCGTTTAGATTTGATTGGAAGTTTGTTTCTGATATTTCGGCTGAAATTTATAAGTACAAAGATGTTTTTTGATATAAAGTTCCTTGTTAACACTTTAATAAAGTATATATGATATTAATTACATGAAGAAAATGATGAAATCGACGTTTCGGCGTGTAGCAGGTATGGGCCATATTATAGGTAAAAATAGGTAATATATTAACTGTTTTTATATTTTTTTAGCTTTAAACCCAAGGATCTTGGGATATTCTTTCAAGGATTTTTCCGTATCTCTACTTTAAAGACTGATCGGTGATTTTGAGCAATTGAAAGCAAGTTATACAAGGTAAATTATGATTATTGAACTATTATTAGCCTACGTTAAATTTCTACAAGATGAACAGAAATGCGTAATTACATATCACATAGGTACCTATTATGTATTTTCATAGCAATAATGCTATAAATCTATGTATGTAGATTATTTTTAAAATACAAATGAGGTATTAGATGTATATGTATCATATTTTTTATTCATTTTATTTTCATTCAAGTCCTGTTTGATTTAATTCACAAAAGTCTTATGTAGGTACCTATATTTATATTTTTTACATATTTTTTTTGATTCCAGGTTTTGTGTGGGTTCCGGTTGCCTTTTTCCTGCTTCCAGTTATTTATCCGTGAAGCTGTGAAAACATTTATTTATCTTCAAGTTTCTGTAAGTCAATGCACTGTTACTTTACTAATTCGCTTTAACACAGCATCTCTGATATTATTTAAATATTTAATATTGATACAGTAGTTTATTGGTTTATAGCTCTTTAATTGTGTTGATTTGCATATTTACATTGTTCTAAATTCCAAATAAATATTTTTGAGTAATTTTGTTGTATTATTTACTACTAGAAAGAGTAAAAAGTATATTAACCCTCATTTAAACCTCCCGAACAGCCCGCCATTAAAAACCGGAAACGGAAATAAATTTCATAAAATTGAAATTGTCATGTCTATGTCATGTCATAGTCATGTCAAATGTCCCAGCCGCCATATCTGAAAATTAGTTACCCAGGCAGCCACGCTGTTTCCATAATTTAACATTGACTTGACACTTCTTCTTGTATTTATTATTTTATGGTTTTCACCCTTCTCGTACTTTTTCTTGATTTTTGTAAAAGTCAAATGTTAAAGCACTTAGCAAAACATAGACACCCAAAATCTCATTCAAATCGGACTCTTAAAATATCTGAAAAAATGTGTTTATTTTGGTACCCTCTAGCGGACAAACGAAGCATTTTTGTATAGAGGTAAATCAATAGACTTACTTTGATTCCAAAAATACTTAGTAGTTATATGTCCACACGGAATATCAGGACACATGAGAGAACATGATTGCTATTAATTAATTGCAGGTATTTTAATAAAAATAATTTAAGAATATGTTAACTCCGTAATTTTTCGAAACCGAAAAATAGTTTATAAAAATATATTTAATACAACAGAGCCTTTGGATCACTCTCTGTAAAGGAGCCGTAAAAATCGTGTTTTAATAGTTTTCTCTAAAACACCAACTCTTAAAACAAAGTTGTTTTCAATAATAAGTACTATACATATAATTTGTACCTTAATATTTACAGATTTTAACCGTTCCTTCCATGCTCCTGATAAAACTAACATAAAAATAATTTGGCACTAATAACAACAGAACATATTTTTGTCGCGAGAAAACTATTAAAACGTCGAGAGTATAACATTGTTTATACAGATGCAGATCACTCTACAAAGTCTGCAATTTGATAGTAAATAATCTATATAGTTCACCTGTCATTATACAAGGATCAAAAAGTTCTATAATCAAGCGAGCATTGAATTAGAAAGAATAGAAACTGTTTATCTGTCATCATACCATGCAGGCTTGATCGTAAAACTTCTTGATCAAATTGTATTTCTTTGAATATAATATTATATAATCAAAACGCCCATTGAACAAATAAATACTTATAATGTCTATACTTTTAGTTTCAATCTGTACTGATTTGGCAAAATTGGGGAAAAATACTTTAATAAAAAAATGTAGTATATCTTACATGTTCAATAATACTAAAAAAAGGGATGAAAAGACAAAATTTGTGTCGTGACAAAAAAAAAGGTTTTCTTCGTCGTTATTGATTTTTGTTGTGCGTTTTGGTCGATTTGTTAATAGATAACTACATAAAGCAATCAAATATATTATTATAAAAATATATCACTAATAAAAATATACTTCAAACAACTGAACATAAAAATAACAGAAACCACATTAAAATATAAATATGTACCAAAAAATATATGTATAAAATAACAAATATTTTTTTTGTCATGTAAAATCGTAAGGAAGAGTACTTATATATTTATATAGTACTATTTAATATTTCTCGGCGAAATATTTTCTCTAATAGTGTCGTGTTTATGTCAGTTAATAAATAATGTTTTAAATATATTTATTTGCTTTTTATGATTAATTAACAGTATTTTTAATTACCATAAGGACCTAAAACAATAAATAAAAAAATAAAAAAAAATTGAACCAACACATCTAAAATAATTGTAATCGTTAGAAATACTATTTTAAAAATAATTAAAAAAATAAAAAATGTATCTGTAATGTGTATTAAAATTGCTAAACAAAGTTTTATGTCAATATGGCAATAAATTACTGTATTTTATTGCACACAAGTACTATATGATCATAAATAAATTTAATATAATAAAATTGCAATTTTGAATATTTATTGCTTAAATATTCATCAAAAATTTTATAAAAAGAAATAGATAAACAATATAGTTGGGCAATATCAAATCAAAATTACAATTTTTGTCTGAATTAATCATATTTATCAATAATCATACTGTAATATTTTCTTTTTCGTCTTCAAAATTACATTATCAGATTAATTACACAAAAGAAAACAGAAAATTGAAACACAAAAAACCTAAACAAATTAATTAAAAATGGGCAAAGAAAAAAATAATCTGTTCATATTTAAAACAGAGATCTAAAACCAAAATATTATAGATAAAATGTATCACTGTCCTTTATTTATTTAATATCTTTAATATATTTTTTAATTAACTATCATTTCATTCTTTAAAAATATTTTTTTTATTAAATTTTGCAAGTACTTCCAAAAAGTTTGCATCAAACCATTTTTTATTATTATTGAGATATTGAAAACTGGAGTAATTATTGGAAAAACTGGAAATCGTCCGATTTGCACAAAAATTGGTATACACCCTATTTTGAGGTTGTAGATTACAAATCTGAACTTTTTTTCTGGAGGTATCTTACCATTTTCAGAAAAACAAAAAATTATTTCAACATTGAATCTTTTTTAATTTCTCACATTTTTAAGGTTTTCTAGCGCATATTTTGTTAGGTATTCAATAAACAATCAGGTTTATGCTATTTTCTGTTACTTTTTTAACCCATTCTATGCATAATAGAGGAAAATTCGTTAAAATAAATTTGTAAACAATCTGAAAATGTTGGGTTATGTATTTCTGACATTTAAAGCAACGTTGCCAATGCTAAACCTAAATTTAGTGCGTTTTATCTTGTATTTTTTCGGGTGATTAGGGATTTTAAATAAATTACCTAAATGAGATTTGACAATAGTACATACAAATATATAACCACAAAGTTGCACGAAAGAGTTCTGTTTGCATTGGTAATGTCAGATCTCAAAAATAGGTAATTTATTTAAAATCCCTAATCACCCGATAAAATACAAGATATAGAAACGTTGCAAATTTTCAAATTTCTAGATTAGATCTAGAATATATTTGTCTCTCTTATTGCATAGGGGAGAAAAAGAAGGATATATGAAATGTCAAATCTGGTCTCAATTTTCTTCGTTATTTTGTTAAGAAAAGTGTTTTTCAGTTAAATTTTGGACTATTTTTCTATCCTGCAAAAGGTGTATCCAATCAAATGGCTTTTAGATAAACTATAATATAATGAAAATATAGTGAAATTACTTTATAGGGCTGAAATAAAGAAACATTCAATGTTGAAATTATTTTTATCAAAAATTATCAACGAAAAAAGTTGTTCAGAATTAAATTTTATACTAGTTAAAAAGTGCTAATTTTCCTAAATATTCAAGACGCTTAAAACACGTACTAGGCCTGCAGTGGTATTCTGTAAGCCCAGTAGCAAGAAATTTCTTGCCTAGCCTATGTTATTTTTATACGACTTGTGAGTCAATAGAAAGAAAATGTTAACAGAATCACACTGCTCGTCACTTCAACGCGTGGTCTGTATTTGAAAGCATGCGACAGAGATAAATATAAAGGACCGGGTTGACAGACAGAGAGACAAAATAAAAAGCCGCATACAGTATTGCCGATCTTTACGTTTGTAGGAAAATGTGTGTAGAAAAAAATAAACTTTTAAAAACTTTCATGTATACTACTGAAATGAAGATAGTAAATTTAAGCTAAATTTAATCTATTACAACTGTAGAAAAAACTACTTGTAAAAAATAAAGTTCCAACCCTAGATGCAACATTTTTCGTAAACGCCTACTTGTGCGATTTAAAATTTTGATGCAAAATCCGGCATTTATATTCAGAAAATTGGCATTTATATTTTTACGGTTCATTACTAGACAGTACAGAAAAATGATATGAAGTATCTGTATATTATGATATTTAGTATACCGGGTGTTTTTCAAAAGTGGCTCACCCCTAACTTTAATATATTTTCAAATATTTAGGGATGTGACCGTGGTCGTATTGAAATGCGGCGCGTGTTCTAACAACGTTTTTATTTAACATTAATATAAATTGGACTAAAATTTAACAGAAACGAAGGAGCACATCTGACTAGCTGGCGGCCCTTTTCACTGACTAACTGAGACTGACTTCGTTGACGGATGACAACGCGGACTGTCACTCGGTTCTTCTTTTCTCTGTGGACTTGGCCTTCATGACCAGCAAGAGAAAACTTCTCGAGGCTGGAGTACCTGTTTGCGCCGTCGAACTTCCGGGCCTGATACCGTTGGAGGCGGCAATGGCGTAGGCGCCACAGATAGAAAAAAGAGATTTGTTATGTTAGTAATATGCCATAAATGAATTATTGTGTTCCCTGACTCCCCATGCCCATTTTAACAAATCTCTTTAAAAAAAGTTATATGAGAGCCACTTTTGAAAAACACCCGGTATAGACATAAAATCAAATCCTGAGCAATATTTCTCTTTGGCTTTTTTCAATAATATTTTCTCACCTTATTATTGCAAACTTTTTGACACAAACCATATAATATATTTTGATTGGTACACTTTCTTGGACAGTGTTTACAAATTATCTTTGATCTAAAACAATTAATTTCTGTTTCAAATACTTTCTTTGATACAATCACATTTTCTTCTGTAGATCATCTAAAATCCACTGTACGAAATACTTCCCAACAATACGCGGTTACCTATTAGAAATCGAGAGGAAATCCGGCATCCGCGCCGAAAGAATTCAACAGCTCCTGGTCTGTAAAGGCGGCGGTATCGCCGGTGGCCGAAAGATTGTCTAGGAATTCAAAATTGAAATCCGTTGTTTGCGGATTGAACGAGGCCAGGGCGTTGTTCGCGCTGTTGGAATTGTTCGAAGTATTCGTGAGCATATTGCCGTTGGAAGGCTGTTGCTGCTGTTGCATCGATTGGCCGCTGATGGAAATGGACTGTGACTGTTGCATGTGGATGTTGGACATTGACATCTGAAAATAAGGTTTATAAATGTATTAATAGACGAAAGTACATTTTAAACCAAACAGTACATTTAAAATATTGTGTACAGGACGTCCCATTTTCGTGTGATTTATGAGATTGTTAGTTTAAGAGTAGAGATTGAAAGATACGGTTTCCACATCACTATGCTACTTTTTTATAAAACTAGAGATGCTATACATAGATTGTCCTAGCTCCCTAAATATAGGGCGAATTTGAAAATTATCCTGTCTGAAAACTGAGTTTTTCACGTATAGTTCAATGGCATAACTAGTTTTTCGCTGGGAGCTGTCAATCTTGACATATGACTCCTTTTAGGAGTTTTTTAAATGGAATACCCTTATATTATATCGTCAGTGAAACGTGATAACCTGCTAACTCCAGTTTTTATGTGAATAAGTTTTTTTATACCATTAGAAAGAGAAAAAAATACTCTATAAGTAGGGAAAGCAAATACATTTTTTCCCATTAAAGGAAATTTGGTATTTTAACTCAATAATATCTGCTAACTCCCAGTGGCTATTATTATAATCCAAGTACTGATAATCATGATGTAAAATCATTTAATACTCCATTTAAAGTGATTTGCAATAGTGCCGAAACAAAGGATTTGATTGAAGAATTTGTAACAGTTATTGACAATAAGGCAGATGAGTTCGCAGAAAAAGATTCTGGTAAGTGTTGTAACTTTAATCTCGTGTGGATTTTTTTGCGTATTTTTTCGCCTTACGTTTTGGCCAATTTTTCCCTGTTATATACAGGGTGAGTCTTAAATAAGTGCAAATATTTTTAGTGGTAGTATATTTCGACCCAGGAAACACGATTATCAGGTTTTTTGCGCAAAATTTTTTTGTTTGAAAATTTGGATTTTTTTTTAAAAAAAAATTTTGGAAATGTTTTTAATTTTTAGTTTAAAAAGATACTTTGTTTGTAATATGGCAACATAGGTAGTAGATTAAATTTACAAGAAAGAAAATCCTCAAAATAAAGTGAAATAATTCGGTTGTTTTGGATTTATTTGAAAAATCGTTAAAAAGAAAATATTGTGTTTCGAGATTTTTCCAGCCCTGAAAATATTTGCACTTATTTAAGACTCACCCTGTATAGAAATCAGGAAACTACCCTAATGCAAGATAAACCAATCCAATGCAAATGCCATAATGCAATGCAAAAGCAAATATTGTTAACAATAAATAATGAACTATAAAGGGGGCCCGCGGAGGCTGGGGCCCCTCTAATAGTTATATATATAATATGGCCAGTCCGACCCTGCGTCGATATGTTCTGTAAATACTGGGTATCTGTAAAGGGTAAGGGGAAAAACGAAATTCTGTATATACGAGCAATTCATCGGCGTGCTATAAATAGTTTAAATAACATTACTTACCTGTACAAGAAATTCTATAATACCTAATCAGTTTTATTTTTTTCAATGTTTTTCCACGCAAATGATACATAATTTTTATAAAAATTAAGAAAATAAATAGAAAAGTAATCAAAATTTAATAAAATCGCGCACTTTTTTCCAAGCTTGTATAAAAATTGGATAAGCATGGAAGGATTCTACTATATATTCTAAGAATTATAAGTTTAATTTTTAAATTATTTTCATATTATTTAAGTCCAAAATGCTGCTATTTCAGTTCTTTAACAAGGCATTAAAAATTTATTCGTTTTTGGACTTGTATGTTTTGTTTCTAGATCGACGATATTATAAATAACATATATGGTTATGAATATCATATATTTTAAATTTAATTGATTATTAATCCCATATAAGGGAGCCCAAATCGAATTAAAATGCTACATTGACCACACCAAAAAATATGGGGTTTGTTTTGATACCTTGTCAAGACATAAGCGAAACTTTTAAATTGTTTCTTTTTCATTTAGGCCTTCGTTTTTCGTTAAATGAAAGTTATATTAAAAAAATCTATTTTTTAAACCAAATTTTCGCATGATTGAAATGATTATTCATGTTTAAAGTTTTTTTTGGTCATAAGCGCTAATGGAAATGTTTTTTTGTAAATAATTACACAAAAATTACTCCCTACGAAGACTTTATTGTGTACTGGACTAAAAAATAAGTATTTGTTTTCTCTATACGGTGGTATTAATATATCGATTTTTGATGATAGTGCCCTTTTACCCGGTCTAATTTTGTACTACTTTCGGAATAAGGGTCCCCATATCATGTACTGTACTTCCATCCCTGAAAAATTCAGCTTGTGACAGGTAGTGACAGGTGTGAAGTGAGAGGTAAAGTCAAAATAAGCTTTAATCTACCTACATCATAGGTAGGTGTAGGTACTCTAGGTATATTCTACCTAGACAGTAGCCATGGTACAAAGAATACAAGGTATGATCGATAGCGGCTCCAATTTCGTTCAGTTCGCGCATACCACCTGTGACGTCACTAGGAAAATGAGGAATAAATAAAAAATAAAGAAAGTTGACAGGAAATCTGCATTTTTTGGGGTTATGGTTAAGAATTGTTTATTTTTAAGACTTTTTAGTTCATTTAATTTAATAATTACTAAAACCAGCAGTTCCAAAAAATATATTTAAAAAATAATAATTATCTATTAACATGGATTTGGACTTTGGACCATAATAGGTAAGAATACTAAATTTATTTCTATATTCGGTACCTATAAAATTGTTTATTAGGTTTTTAGTTTGCGATGTTTATGGTAAATAATTTTCATGATCATTGCCTCTGATTTCACATGAGGACAGAGATGAGGATATATATGGAAAAGTAACCACAAGAGGAATTGTTACATCATTTAAAAAATGTTGAGAATCGGCCTACGTTTGGCTAAACAGGCTGGACACGGTGGACTACGATACTGGCAAGTCTGAATATTTATAAAAATTTGCAAAGTAAAATATGTTGAAAAAATAATTACATCCATAATCCATACATCCTATAAAAGCTCAAAGGGTTTTTTTGTTGCATCCATCCCGCCGAAACCGCTTTACCAATCTTGATGATTCTTTTTTTAAATGAAAGGTATATATGTGTAGATTTGTTATGAAGTATTTTTATAGTGCTTAATGGCTATTTCTTTGTGTAAAACGACTAAATACTAAAATATACCTGAAAAACACCTACACACAATACCTCCAGAAATAAATTATTTGTCATTGTCAGTGGTGTGTCAGTTAGATTATATATTACGTTTTTAGATATTTTAGAGTGAGTTGATGCCGCCAGCTTTAGATACATAAATATTAGCACAAAGGTTCGTTTAAACGACATTAGTGAATTAGCTACACAAAGCGATTTTAGGAAATTCATCCTCTTAGAGAGTAAAATTATCTCGGAACAGTTTGTTGTATGAAAATTCCTTACTATTTGGTCTAGAAGAATGAAATCCTACAAAAAGAATTAGAAGAAATTTTTGAAATTCATCAACCAAATGGGTAAAGTTAGTAAAAATTTATATAAAACTTGGTGACCTCTGGATTATACACATAAAAATTGGCACAAAGATAAAGCAAATTTATGAAATGTATACACTTAGGGAGTAGAATAGGGAATGAAAGTTTGCTGTACGAAAATGCAATACTATAACATTATAAACCAGACAGTATAAAATTATATACAAGGGTTTATTTAGTGACATCATAACGAAATATATCTTCCTCAATTATCCTTCAAAGAATAAAAAATAACCTATAAAGAGAGTATTAGTGCTCTTAATAAATAAAAAAAGATGAAAAATAAAAAAACATCTATGCTCACTAGCTCTCTATAAAGAAGTAGAAAATCATTTAAATCAATGCATGAACGATTCGAGGTGTAACGCGAACGTAGAACGTAGTCGCGGGAAAAAGCTAGTAATTTATTAAATTATTTTATGTAACTGATTAATTTTCATTGAAAAGGAATTTTTGTAATTCGCCACTATATTAGTTAAAAACTAAGAAACTCATCAATTTTAAGTTTTGCGATTTTGACTTATACTTTTTACAAAATCTGAACACATTTTATAAGAAAAAAAGCTTTTGATAATATTTGTGTAGATTGACTACAAGTTGTATAACATAAATTTCTCTACCTAGTGGTCTGCAGCATCGCCTTGTGGTGCAAACGTGGGCCTGTTAATCTGTGACGTGACGCACAACAGCCAAGAAAAACAGAAGCGTGGCTAAGAATTTAGTAATTTAACAAAAATGTCTTTTAGATACAGTAGTAGGCATTAAAAAGTTTTGTGTTTAAATGGGGTTTGCCTTTAACAGTTAAAAAATTATATCGTAAAGTGTAACTTTCCGTAAGAATTCTTTATCTGTCATCGATCATGATCTGTCATCATGCTAACCTGATGTTTTGTAGTTATTTTGTTTTTTTGCTTGTTTGTTTTACGGATAGGTGCGATCGCATAATTATTATTGATAATGTTTTATTTAATGTTAACATTACTACTTTTTCGGTGAATCTTTAAATCTGTTGTTTTTTGTTAAGTTCGTTATTTAAACATATGTATGTAATACACTCATATTAACACTAATCATATTTTTACGTTTTTATTCACCATTTTCAATGCCCCCCCGGTTGCATCTTTGTGAAGGACTGTGAATTTTAAATTTAATTGATTATTTCTAAATCTGTTCGGGTAATATTTAATTCCATTTTCAACATTTCAAACAATAAAGGTTGCTATCTCCAGAAGTATATTTTTATTTCTTATTTCTGCAAGACGAATATCTGCTATCTCCCTATTGTGTCTGAAACAAATGATGTAACACGAAATATTGAGTTTTATTGTTCCCCAGCAAATAAAATTCTTATCTCTTTATCATATTAACGCATGAAAATTCTTCCTACATGTGTACATATTTTTTTGTACCGTTTTTTTACTCTCCTGTAAAATTAGGAATAATGGAGTTAGCAGTTTATCACATTTCACCGACGATATATGTTTTTAAATTTTATGTGCCTTGTCATGCCTTTTCTAAAAATATAATATACTCTATACTTATTTCAATAAACAAGATAAAAAATACAACATTGAACTTTAAAACAAAAAAAATAATTTATTCGGAATCAAATTTTGGATATTGGGCAATCCGCGCTAGTCTGTGAAATAATTGCACAATTAATTGCATGAAAAATATCAATAACTATAACCGACAACATACTATCTAAAAGAAGCACAAGTTCATTTTCAGGGTAGTTGATTAAGACAAAATAATGGTAAGCATAATTATCTGGTTAAATTAAATTAAATAATACTACTCTTTTAAACCAGCTTGACTTAAAAAGTTAAATGATTTTTTGCCATATTTATAAAAATAAGTATAGAGTATAACATATTTTTAGAAATCTAAACAAGGCAAATAACATAAAAAATAATATACAGGGCATCCCAAAAATCATAAGTTTGAGTCATATCTCGAAAATGACAACTCCCAGCTTTTATAAATTAGATTTTTTGGTTTGTTAACATAATTCTTTTTAATAATTATACTTAATTTTCTTTAGTAATAGCCTTTTTTAATTTTTATCACGATTGTTTTTGGTTATTAATAAATATGTAATATATTAACGTATCATCATTTTTTTAAATATTAGATAATTATATTAAATATTAATATATTAGATTCGAAGATGGATTAGAATAAACCGAAACGTAAATCACGATATATAAAAAAATACTACCTACCCTATTACCCTATTACCCTAGAAAAATAAGTACGTATTTTTCATATGTTTAGAGTAATATAATCGATAACAAATAAACTTTTTTTTTATTTAGTTACGTCATCGAAGGCGCAATTATTAAATTCATTGTTGCCAACCATGGACATATTCGGCGCCGGGCTAACTAACTGGAATTTAAATTTCCCGCTGGCGATTCAGGTGGTAGCTCTGCTGTAAAAAATGTCAAGTTGTTATATTTATTTACTGATATTTTCATTAGTTTTGACAGTTTAGCTTTGTATTAGGAGTTTTTGATTTAAGTTAATTGTGTTGTGATTTTTCAAGATTAAAATTTTGTACTAGCAGAACATGAAGTTGAAATGTTCTTTTTAGAACAGCTGATATTGCGAAGTATTCAAGATGTTGAAGCAGCTTAACAGTCGTCGCAAAAAACTCATCACATCCTTATTAGAATATTTTGAACGGGAACGCGGTAATAATGTTCACGTTACGGTAATAATAATTATGCCCCTTAAGTGCTGTTAGGGAGATGAGTTTTGTTCATGTAAATAATAACTATTTATATGTGTATAATTAATTAAATTTTATTTCCTAAAATATTTTGATTAGAAGAAAATATGTAAAAGTCGGCAACAATGTGCCGATCAAACTTCATCATGCGACTAAAAGTTTATTTGGTGTGATCCTTAAAAAGGACATTGTGTTATGTAATCAAATTTTACATAAAAAAAATCTGATGAGGTTTTACAAATGTATAAACAAACTAGATGATTCTTCAATTACCTGTGAATTCTGCTGCTGTTGCTGTTGCTGCTGCATCAGCGTCTGCTGTTGTTGCATGTGCAGCATCGCCTGATTCATCGAATTCATCTGGGCCATGGGACCGCCCTGACCTCCAATCACATGACCCATACCTCCCTGGCCGCCTCCCATACTCGCCTGTTGGGCGCGCATCTGTTGCTGTTGGTGTTGGAGCGCCGTCATCTGTTGCAACGAACCTCCTCCCATATTCATATTAAATCCACCTAAAACAGAATAAAATACATGAAATTATTGTGATTTTAAACCACAATTCCACTTCAGGGTTTGAAAAAACTTTGTTCTTTTTTGTTGTGATTTTTAACCAAAAAATGTTATTTATGCTTTAAATCTGTTTTAAACACGGTTATACAAACTCAATATTATATTTAAAACTTGTTTATAATTGTATCTAATCTTAGTGCACCTCTTGCTTGTAGGGGGCGCCACCTACATGTCTCTACTCTTTTGAACCACAACTTTTTGGTTCGGTCCTGTATTACATTTTTACATTAGTAATGTCAATGATTCCTTTGTCACTTATAGGTCAACAATGTATACTTGTTAATATTCGATATGGACAACCATTCGAGATGGATTATAAAATTTACAATATCGTAGTTTTTATTAAGAAGATAGAAACATTAAAGCTTTAAAACCCTTTATAAAAAATTTACAGAATTGTGTAAACTTTGACTCAAAAATATCTTGTATCTCAAAAACGAAGGCCTTGCGGATATATTTAGATATAATACATACTTTTATGTTTGTTAAAATTGTTGTTGTAATTATTTGCTGATGATTCTATCATGGTTAGCGAAACGCGCGTCCAGTGTCTAAGTAAAGTGTTGTGGAGTATTATGAGGAGTTAGTGTTTTCTCATCAGTTCTGTTATCAGAGGGTACTTTTTTATTATAATCAGGTAAAGCGATAAGCGCTACATTGGGTATTTTTTGATATTATAATCAGTTAATCGATTTTTTTAGACAAATAGTAAGTTGAAGTGACTACAATTTTCCTTTCATATTAAAGTTAAGTATAAGAGTAATTTATTTTTACACACTTGTTTTTAATCAAAATGATTAAAACGACACCCCTCTTCAGCTTATAATAATTATAGTTAATTCTTAATACAATGAAATACAAAGCTGTGCTAAATAATCAAGTTATGGTATATTTTAAAACCTCAAGAGAGATATTTATTCATTACTCATTACATATTTTAATTACATACGTTATTTCTACGCTCAAACGGTAACTCTCTAGCTCTAAAAACCCCATTTATTGAGGCTCACTGCAATGCAATGGAATTGACATGATATCTGACAAGAGTAGATTCTACACACAGAACATATTCCAGACAAGGTCGAGAATGTTCAGCACCTAAAGCTGCATAACATAGTTGGCATATTACACTTCTAAGCACAAAAGTATATATGATTAAGGAATATAATTTCAGCAGTTTTACTAGGATTTTTTTTCAAACGTACAACACATACCTTGTTGGAAAGATGGCCTCATTGCACCAAAGTTCGCATTCTGCTGTTGGGACATCAACAATTGACGCCATTCTGCCGAATTATTCTGCTGAATTGTCTCCATACCACCCATCGGACCAGGCTGTCGATTAAACATAGAACGTCCTGCCATTTGCTGCTGTTGCTGTTGTTGTAACATATACACGTTGGAACGTATCATTGGACCTAAAAAAATATACCAAAATAATAACCCATTAATACAGATAAAATTATTTGGTATTACAAATAAAATTAATCTACCACAATACAGTAAAAGAATTACATAAACTGAAGGCACGTTTTAATCAGTCTATTCTTCAGAAAGACAGTCAACTTCGCTAGTTTTTGAGTACTCGCGTACTGATTTCCTTCGATCTCGCACACATGCAGATGTCACTGGCTTCCTGCAGAGCATCAGTCTCAATAATTTTTATAAACGGATCATAATAGAGCTCAGAATACGACTTGTTACACTTGATACATAGCATACGATAAGCAAATGTTTAGGTAGGAAAGCAGAGTTTCATATAAAAATGATGAGCGATCAGTAGTGATGAAAAATACTGACCTTGGCCGTACAAACTAAACGGCAAGCGACAGTATTCTTCATCGCTAGCGATCGCTATTTAGTTACAGAGTTCCACCCCTGGCTGTCTAATAAATATACTGTGGTTTTAACCATGTCAGCGTTATCAATAAATTACTAAAACTGTAGATGATTGAATTTGCAGTAATAAACGTTTACATACATATATTTGCTTTCCTATACAAATATTGTGGTGTATTGATAGGTTCGTTCCAACATAGAAATTTGTTTATAAGGTATATTGTAAATGGGATCACAGGAATCGAATTTGTACGCATGTGTCGACTTGGACAATTCTGTTACAATACCAAAATACAGATTGAAACGGTTTGTGAACTGATTTGGACTCAAATTCATAAGTTAATTTTTAATCACTAAAAAAATTAGATATATTTTCAATATAAATGCGTATTATGTAACTTATTGGATTTAAATTACAAAATTACCTTTTGTTCTGTGAGCAAAGTTTTCTTTTAGCCCAGGTAGGGTGCTAACCTAACCTGAGAACCCTCCTCCTTTTACCCGAGCTTGAGACCTTGGGAAATTCCTCAAGAATGACACAAAAGCGTCACAATTGCTATATTTAAAAAAGGACAAAAAAACTACAGAGACATAACTCTCCTTAATACAACTGTGAAACTCTTCACTAATATTTTGAAAGGAAAACTCGAGGAACAAATTACGAATAGGGACGGACAACAAGGTTTTAGACGAAATCGATCAACTACATACGTCGTATTTATCTTTAAACAAATTAAAGAAAAAGCAAAAAAAAATAATACATCAGCCTATATCTGTTTCATTGACTTGACTAAAGCATTCGATAAAGTACGCCTATCTGACATTATAAACATATTAAAAGAGAAAAAATGCCTGATAATATTGTGAAAATAGAAAGCTAAATATCGATAACACAACTCAAGTGAAAGCAGGGAATAATCTAATACTAGACATACCAACACCAGGATGCATTAGACAAGGAGACAGCCTTAGTCCCTTCTTATTCAATCTCTTAATGGACATCATTATAGAAAAGACGACCTCCATGAATATCGGTTACCGAATGGGACAGGACAGAGTTAGCCTGGTGTGTTACGCTGATGATGCACTCATTATGGCGGAGACAAAGGACGATATGCAGAGACACAACTTCATAAATTCTATCAAGTAAGCCGAGAATTAAATATGATTATATCTACAGAAAAAAATTAAATGCTTAACTTTCTCTAAAGAGCCGGTAAGATGCAAACTGGTAGTAGAAAACAAAATTATTAAGCAAGAATCACACTTCAGATACCTACGAATAGATATGTCGCACTACCATGATCGAGAGAAAGATCTGAGAAGCCAGATAAACAGAACAACGGCCATGTCAGGATGTCTGAGGCAAATAGTGTGGATAAACTCCTTCATGCAAGCAGACAGCAAAATTAAAACTTATAAGGCATCAGACAAATAATGACATATGGCATAGAAATCCGAGAGAAACCAAACAAGACCAAAAGCGTGTTAAGAGCAATGAAGAACCTAAGAACCATAATGGCGAAGACTAGAAGAGACAGAATTAGAAACACAAATATCAGACAACAATGTGGAATACAGGACGTAGTGAGATGGGGTAGGCAAAGGAAAAGACAATGGTTCGCATACATAAAACGCATGAGACAGCCGACAAGACCTCTAAAAAGATGGAAAGACAGTTGGCAGTCCATCTCCCAAGAACTCCTACAGAGGCAACCTCAAAATTAACAGATCGACTAGATCTTAAATAAGTAAAAGAAGAAGAAGAAGAAGAGAAGAAATTACAAAATTACCTTTGTTTCATTTCGCAAAAGTTCTAACTCATCTTCAATGGCACCCAGACACTTAATAACTGTTCTTTTCGTCACACTATTTGGTACAAAAATATAGAATGTTATTTGAAATATGTATACAAACGATAAATAGTAAATAAACTTTAGGAAACAGAAATAACAAAAAAAGTTACAAAAAATAATAATCAACCATTTACACATTTTAGGTTGGTATCGAAATCACCCTTTCGAAAGTTACAAAAAATAATAATCAACCGTTTACACATTTTAGGTTGGTATCGAAATCACTCTTCCGAAACCGGTTCACTAAGGATTACAATTCTGGTTGGAACGCAAAAATTCTCGTTCGCTATACTATTCTTCATCTCGTGTGTGGAACGCATATTCTATACTACGCGTAAACTCAATCGTGCCGAGAATGGTTTTCTGCTGTATTGGAATGAACCTACTATTAAGTATTTTATTCTCTTTACATATTTTAACAAATCTTATAAACGAAAACTAACCTGATGGTGGTATTGGTTGGTGTGGCATCCTGCGCATATTAGGTGGGGGAGCTGGTGCGCCGTATCGGGGTTGCATACCTTGTCCCAAGCCTGCGCTAGTTTTGTAATCCGGCGGTGGAGGTCGCAACTGTTGCTGTTGTTGCTGCTGCATCGCCTGCGCTCGCAACATCTGTTGCAATTTCTGCTGTTCTAACGTTTGTGCGGACATTAGACGCGGACCCAGAGGACCAGTCGACGCGCCCATTGGTCCGGCTGAAGGACCGCCCATTGGTGTACCCATACCTGTTTAAAAACAATGAGAAAATGTAGAAATAATTGTTACATCTAAGGATTTTAATATTTTTATTCAGTAGGTATATAAATTTCAAACTCGTATTTATGGACAGAAAATTACATATAAAGCAATTTGGCGTGAACGTCATGAAACAATTACCAAATTAAACTTCTAAAAAATAAAAATTCTTTAAAAAACTTAGAAACTTAGAGAGCACTTTTTACATTTTTCTTAAAATCTTAGTTAAAAAAAAACAAACACGCAAAAGACATGTCGCATCAAGTAAACGAAGTGGCTGATAAAAAATGTGAAGCATTTATTACATGACCACTTAATCTGACGTAGATTTCTTTCGCTTGAAAAAATACTTAACCTAACCTAACCACCCAAGGCCAGAAATGCCCAATCCGGTATGTATTTTCAATAAAACCCTCAAAACTTAAGCAACAATATCAATTTTTACCTGTCTAACGCAGTTTAATCACACACGGAGCCCATCTTGATCTCTTTTCTGTTTAAAATAATTGAGTAAAGTCACTGCTTCCGACTGAGTGGTTTTGGTATTTTATTGCAATTAAAATCGCAGATTTAATTTCAAATTTGTTTTAGAAAACAATATTAAAAGAACAAAATTAAAATTCCTAACTGGACAAGATTTGCCATGGCTACCAACATAAAGCTCTCTCTGTCAATTTCGATTTTATTATTTTTTTCTAATCTGACATTTTTACAAAGCAAATTTAATAAAAATAAAAAAATAATATACAGGGTGTCCCATTTTAAAAAAAGATAGGTTTAGGTTATATTTCGAGAATGACAGTTCCCAACGAAAATCTAGTTACGCCAATAGATTCTACGTGGAAATGTCTACTAGACTCAGTTTTCACCTTTTCGATAAGTTATAACATAACCGAGATATGAAGAGGGTCGAAAAATGCAACATTTTCAATTTCGCCCCGTATTTCAGGAACTAAGAGGGACAAATCTGTGTGCAGCATCTTTAGTTTCATAAAAAACAATCACAGTGATGTGAGAACCGCATCTTTGTATCACTACCCATAAGCGGGATACTCTGTAAAACACACGAAAATGGGACACCCTATACATGTTTTGTGTCTAAAACTGGAGTGAAAAATCTATGATAAAATTACGAATTTTATTTGACACTTAGGGTAAGGAGAAAAAGCAGACGATGTCACAAAACTGATTTTTATAGAGAAAACTGATTTAATGTACCCAAATATAATTTGGCTTCAAAGTTATTTCTGTATGCGTTATTATTTGGACATCGTTTGTTATATTCAGTTACAATTTCGCATGTGTTTGAAACTTGGCATTCTTAATATAGATTAAGTTTATTACTTACAAATTCCTATAAAGTAGAAATTGTTGGTTTTCCCCTTACCTTTCGATTTTAAGTGGTAAAATATTTTACCTGGTGGACCTGTCGCCCTTCTCAAAGTCTGCTGCGTAAAGTTGATGGTTTGCGTTTGCGACATCGAATACGAATCTGGATGACCACTCAGTACATTTCCGTGGGACATATTAGGACCGCCCATCATACCACCAAGACCACCTTGCATACCGCTTTGGCCGCCCATATTTCCAGTGGGGTTTTGCATACCGCCCAAACCTTGAGGTCCGCCCATTTGTGCTCCTGTCATCTGTTGGTTCATTGGGTTCATGTTTCCGCCCATTTGCTGACTGTTGCCCTACAATTAAATACCAAATGTAATACCGAATCTTACTCATTTCTGTGTTTTCATATATGGTATTGTTGTTCGCACATTGCAACACATCTTTTTAATACAGTATATTTTGATATTACATATCCATGTTTTTAGCAAAAAAATAGTTTAGTTTTTAATAAAAATGTGTTATATTTTGATAACTGGGAAATACGATTCAAAGGAATCATAATTTTAATACCATTATCGTTTTTCTTACCTGACTCATTGGATTTTGAGAACCCATTCCTCCAGACATGGGACCCGTTTGATGTTGACTGGAAGACATAGGACTATGTTGGGCATTAGCTCCACCTGTGGGATTCTGTGAACCAGCCGAAGATGCATTGTGCTGCTGTTGCTGTTGTTGCGTGAAATGCATGCCTTGCTGTGCTGCTATTGAAACGTTGCCCTTGATATCAGCACTGAGGTGGAGTTGCTGTCCAGCAGACACCTGGAAATAGAATATTATTTTATGTTTAACTGTTTAGAATGGGATTTAAAAGAAGATAAACTATTTATTTCAATATTAAAATTAAATTTCATTTAATCATATACTAATATTCTAACACCGAAGAAAACACTAAAACTGAAAAGTAATAGTAATATTATTTTTCATCTTTGTTTCGTTTGATATTAGCCAAGGACACAGCATTTCGATTATAATGAAAGAAGTAAGAAGTAGTAAGACATTACTATGGCATCCTCTATCATCTATGTAAATATTTACTACGGTATAAAGATGCAGATTTATAAATTATGGCACCTTTGAATAAAAAGATTAAGGAAGGAGCATATCAAAAATCTTAGATCCACCGCGATGGGACTCAAATATGGCCGACTTAAATTCCGGTTTAACAATGCCATTCTAATTTTATTTAAAAAGTGTAAAACTATGATGTAGGGTAGACGTGGGGTAGACTCAATAATTTGTTTTATTTTACGTTGTGAATCAATGTTGGTAGTTATTAAAATTGTTATAAAAATATATAATTTTAATAAAAATAGATAAGTTATAATAATTATTTATTAACACAAACATCCGATACGCTACTGAAGCAGGTAAGTCAAATTGACGTATTTAAATTCTTTGACATCTAATCCTTGACAAGTAAGGAATAAAAGCAAAAATGCAAGAAAACCTATATAATTAGTTAATTTAAGTGAATTTCATAAATGATTGGTTTGCTACACGTATGTATAATATACAGTCACTTACTAGCGAAAAGTTATTCCATTATTTCAGTCGATTTTTTACCGAGATCTACCGCACGCTGCACAACCATTTTACAGTGTTTTTCGACAAATCGCAATAGTGTCACTGTTAATTTAAGTACTGCCACAATTTCCATTTAGATTTAATACCTTTATACAACTATCAGTAGTAGAATAAATAGTAAATAACATAAAATAAGCTCAGTAAAGACTGACAAATCCACAAAACTTCAAATCAAATTCAAATGTGTCAAATGAATCGTCAAACAGAACTGTCAAGGATCCCCACCCTAGGCCCTCTCTCCGTCTACCATGCATGAATACATGGATAGCATTAGACTCCTTCCTTAATCTTTTTATTCAAAGGATGGTACTGTGCCATTTTATTACTTCTATGGCAACGGCCCAGCTACTTCGATACACCGGTTTCCGAGAGATCACATTATTACCACAGAATAATTATTACTCTAAGGTTTAGACCAGAGATAGCGATGACATGCGTGTCAGTAGTTCGCCAAATCCAACAATTTGTCATAATTTATAATTCTATAAAAATATGGAAAACAAGTCTCTAAATGTAAATCATTGGTTTCATAATTTTGGTTTTTGTATTTTAAATGGCCTGAAGCAAATAATTAACTTATAAAAAATTTAATAATTTTTCTATTTTTTTTAAGTCTCTACTGGTCTTTACTTTTGTGATGTGTGAGGCCACGAAAATTATATTTTGATTTTTCAAAATTTTGACACAACGAGCTCAAAAGGTTCGCCATCACTGGTTTAGACCGTCCAAAAAATATGCTATTTTCTAAATTGGAAAGGACTTTTGAATGACAACTAAATGCATTTTGTCCATTTTTTTAAGATTTTCAACCAATGGTGGCATCGCAAGCTACATATACAGAGTTACAATATGATGCCAGAAACGACGTTTTAAATACATTTTATCCCATTCGAATTAAAAATACCTTAGACTTTCTATGTACTTTATGTCTATTGGATGTAGACAAACAAACAGAATAAGTATGTCTTTGTGTGCTGTGGACATACTGCTGTTTGTTTGGCATTGCAAGATGAGTTTTTTTGTACAACTTCTCTATTTTTTTAATAATGCTACTTAAAATAATGAATGGAACTACGACTGGGGAACCTGTAGTTGGGGATATGGACAGTGGTAGCAGAAAAATAGAGAGAAATTTCACGTCTAAAGGATAGTCAACAGCTTTTTTCAATTTTTTTCAGATATAATCAAAACTAGATTTTTCACAAGTAGGTGTACTATTTTTATGATTTTAACAAGTATACTAGTTTTTCGGTAAGTTTCTTGTAAAAAGCGTGGCAGTTTTTCTTTGTTTGCCAAAATTCGAAAAAATGGATAAAATGCATCTAGAAAGTTGGTTGGCTCCTCATATATACATTTTTTTAATTCCGAAAAATAATGTTATATTC